AGAAAAACCCTGAAAGAGATTTATGGTTTCATTTACCATGTCTCCCAAGGACTCAAGGACAAAAGCACAAATATTTTATGGAAGGTAACTCACCTCTGGGCGTCAGAGGGTTTTCATACAAAAAACGTCATCAGCAAGGAGTTGGTCTCCAATGGATGATCCATTTGGGCACAGCCTTCTTTGAATTGGGGCTTCCAACCACGAGGCCAACTAAACCATAGGAATCGTCCAAACGGGAATCCAGAAAACGTCGCGTCGAACCAGCTAAGCATAGTCGCCCTATTCTCTGATTTTCTGTCCAAAATCTACAGTCGAAACCTAACATATAGCATGAGCTTTTTTTGAGAAAAAATCATGAACTCGAGAACTCACTATGCTTGGACGAAACCTAGAACGGAAATGGAATGACGAAAATGTCCCACTTCGTTTTTGACAATTTTCTCAGCCTCGAAATTGACACGAATTCACTAAACCACTAAACAAAAGCAAAACCAAACAAATCCATGTTGTTGATGAAAAAAAAATTACGTTATAACAGCAGCTCTCATACAAATATGTTACTAGCGTGCAATCCGTCAAGTATTGTGAGTAATGACCTTGAGTTACTGCTAAATCCGGATACTTGACCATAATGGAACTGTCTCAGCAAACACACATATTTCTGCCATATGGCAAATGAGGCTCATCAGGGTTCCGGAGAAACATCACCGTGGAACATATCTGCTACAAAGCTATTACATTTCTTGCAATATATTTTCTTGTTCAGGTGGTTACATAACAGGAAACATAATATATCATATACATTCATGATGCTTCAAATGACATGAAAAAATATTGTTCAGTTGAATTATACATGTATGGTGAAGGGAACAAAATCGTATGTTTCACTTTTGTCTCGTAACTATAGAAGGTTATTTCTAAAATCATCGACATATTCATAACAGGGAAACGTTCTATTCTGTAGGAGTTGGTACCTATAGTTGATGGAGAGAACTTCATGTTAGTTGCCTTTGAAGGTTATGTTATGCTTTGGATGTTTGTCTCACATATTCTTTTAGAGAACAAATCAAATAGTGTATTGTTTTCATTTTGGATTGTTTATAGTGATATCCAAATATCTCAAAAATATGTTCACGAGTTGAGTACAAGACAGAGGTGGAATCGAGGGTGTTATATCACAAATGAAAGTGATTTACCTACCTAATTATCTGTCTCTACATGATCACACTGCGTGCATTTATTTATGTGAGTACCACCAGCCACTCCAAAGCAGCTGAATCTGAAGAAGATGCCCAATGGGGTTTTGAATGATGTTTTTATGCCTGTGACTATCAAGATCAATCTGAAAGACTTCTGGGTCATCGAATATTCCATGACACTTTCATGTGCAATTTCCAATGTTTGTTTATCTATGTAAGTACCATCAGCCGTTCCATAACAACTGAACCTGATGAATGTGCTCAAATGGATGTTGAAAGTAATGGTGTTTTCATTTGTGACTTTTAGGAACAACGTGAATGGGTTAGAAAATTCGAAAGCATGAAAAAAGGTCCTTTGACAGAAGATTTTGGATCATTGGACAATCAAACATTCCATATTCCACTACACTTCAAAGTGCATTTTCCATAGTCGGTTTTAACCTCTGAAGTATAACTCTAGCATCCAACTAGGATCATGAAGGTGTACCTATAAATAGTGTATGGTCAAAGGTCAAAATAAGTGCTATCAGAAATGATATATAGTGTACGTGCAGTGCTAGTCTCAAAAGAGAATACATTCCTGGATATATATACCTGATAGAACCAGCTAGAAAGCATATGAATATAGGAGATTTTTCACTCAATTTACCTATCATTACCACTGAAGTACCTATTCTTCCATTTTGGTGCCAGAAATGCTGGATCATTTCAAATTGATAATGAAATTTTCATCTTCAATATTTTGTCTCTCAGTGATGTATTCAAAACGTGAATTTCAAATAATTCCAAATTAATTATAATTCAGTTCTCACTTCATTCCTGAAGTCTGAAATCGTTTCCATTGATTTTCAATTCAGAAACCATGATTTCCATTTTTCTAGGACCACAGGTACTGAAAACGATCAGACATGAAACACAACAAAGGAGTAGATAACTACAACCTTAGTATACATGGTTATCCAAATTGAGTGTCCACCATAGTCAACTTTGTTATAATTGAAAATACAACATTGTTTAAATTATCAAACTAACAGTATTTTCAATGCTTTTTATGGCGAAAGAATAAAAATGAACATTTGAGTATCGCGTTTTTTGTGACATATAATGAGAAATAATCTTCAATAGTCAGAAATACCTATATATGTACCTACTGATAGTTTGTTAATGTGAACAATTTTATATCTTCAATAATAAGAAAGTTATCAGTATGGCTGTCGACACTCAAATTCCTGTATATTTCCTGAAATGATCGAGTACATTATTTTGGATTCATCTCATATATATTACTCTGTAACATTCATTTACATATCATTATTTAAAAACAAATTCGTTACTTATGATGTATCTGATACATGTATGCAATGTTACTTCGAAAACGCTCAACATATGTCGGATATATAAAGGACATATTCAGAGAGGCAGAAATTTGACGTTACATGCAAGATACATTAACTGTACATATAATATGTCTGCAACATCGGATGAGACCAGAAATATGTGGTTGTTATGTATCAGATATGTATTTGTGTTTGCTGGGGTTCTATTAGGATTCGAATGGGAAGTTGAGAAGGAGAGTTGATGTCACTGGACATTGACGATGTATAAGCCTATTACATTTTACAAGAAAACATGGGACAATCACCTGTAAATATCAGATTCAAAAAGAAAAATAATTCTCTCATAAAGTTGAACCCATTTGAATATACACTATAAACATCTGAGAGGTGAGTGTCAAGTATTTACTTGATGTTTCCTGTTGAATGTTCACACTGTTGCCTGATCAATACTTCAGTAACATTCCTTTCTCTTCAGGTTTTAATAGGCTGAAAATCATTCAACGACGTCTTCCTAGGTGAGATAACAGAAATAGTTTGATAATTTCAACTTGGTGAGTTAATTTGACTTTCTTGTTGCACATATAATACTATTATGTGGACTCATGGTTATTCCTGCGTCAATTTTTATATAAATTAAATAATTGTTTTGTTATTCTCAGACCACAACTATACGTCGCCAGGATGGAGTACAGACCGGAGCAATGCAAAATATAATCTAATACCCAATAGTGTTTCAAACTATGTTATGAATGAATAATAAGATGAACTGCTCAGAAATTCACGTTCAATGAACTGAATAGAAAATCAAACTTACTGATGTAACGTTTGGTGAGTGAGTTATATAAGTAATTGAAAACGTTACAGGAGTTTTCTCATTTTTCGTTCTCACTCGAAATTAGGGCTCTCCATCATCTCTTCATTATCATTGAACATTATGACCTCAATCTTCTGATATAAAATTCTGATTGAACCCGTAAATACATACGTACATGCCCCAGTTGGGATGCCAAATGACCTCTGTTTGTATGCATGAAATTGTCCATCACGTCTTAACTCCAACACCGGTGACATCACTCTATCATGTGTGTTTCACGAGATTGGGCTTTGAGAATCCAAACCTACACATATTATTGATTCGTTTACAGAAGTCGCATATTTGAGGAATGGGGAATTCAATCCATACACTAGTATTATACTAAATAAGTGGAAGTATGCTTTGAAATTGAACCAGAAAATTGATTTTTTATGACAGTCACATTGAAATATCTCATCATTTTGATCAGGATATTCAGTTTTTCATTCTTACAAAACATTTTCGAAAACAAGAATCTTCGTTCAACAAAGAACAACTAGGTACGTTCCCATCTCAGAGAAATATACTTGGTGACACAGGAAGCATATAACAGCCTGTAGTTTTTTTTTTGAGGTAATAAAAATTGAAATTCACAAGGGTTATATGATCGATGATTGCGCTTCCCTTGAACTCAATGACAATTTTCCCAACCACCTGTTTGATTGGAAGTAGACTCAACTTTCTCTTTTCAAATAGCACCCTGTATATTTCTGTATTCTATCTGGTTTGCCTTGAAATTATCTATTCAACAATGTGTCAGAATTTGATATTCATTCGTTATTTGGCTGTTGAATTTCATTTTATTGAAATACATAAAGTTGGATATGGCCCGAATACAATGACATTTCTATGCTTGATGGGCTCAGGAATCCAAAGGTCATTATTTTGAAGATATTATCAGGATATTCTCCATACCCTTATCGGTCTCAGAAAATTGCCTCTGATTTCATTGAATTTGAGGAAATCATCCGAAAATGACTCACGATATTGAGAAAACTAGATAGAAACTCAGTTTTTTTCATTTGGCTACTTGTGAAGAAACTATTTGTCTTTTATTTTTGCCATGTAGCCATAATATGATAATCTATCAAGCATCGAAATGTCATTGTATTAGGGCCACAGCCAACTTCATGTATTTCAATATGATGCAATTTAACAACCGATTGATAAACGAAAATCAAATTGTGATATATATCTGACTGAAGAATTTCAAAGCGTATGAGGAAGGCTACTTCCAATCAAACAGGTGGTTGAAGAAAATCGTCATTGGGTTCAAGGGATGCGCCATCATCGATTTTATAACCCTTATGAATTTTAAATGTTTCATCTCTTCAAATGAAAAAACTACAGGCTGTTACATGTCTCCTGTGTCACCCGGTATATCAAGGGTTGAAGTAGATTTGAGCGAATTTTTCGAAGCATGTGAGTGATTCAACAATTGACGTTCCACTCGTAGATAGCTGACTGAAGTGTGACTTGCTTTCTCCACAAAAGTATTATATTCTCATTGAAATGAAATCAAACACGATTCAGATGTTATTGACTTTATGGTTATTCATACTAGAACAAACTCAATATTCGTGAATAATCACTGCTCACAAGAGACACAGGAGTTCTCAATGACTTGATTCCATCCTCTGTTGAAAATGGTATGTTTCATTCCAATATCACTATCCCAATCCACCTCCGGCAAGGGAAGCGAGTGCTGCAGAAGGTATTCCTAATTGACCAACTCTTGCTACTCCTGCAGACATTGGAATATGATCACCAGCCACTTGAAAACCATTTTTCCCAGCTATATATTCAACGATATAGGTAACGCCGTCCGGCCCAACGTAGGAGTAATGACCATAGACTGTATTTTCTTCTTCAGGTGTATCAGGTTTCAGGATTTCTCCAACTTGATCCACATGGGTTCCATCACTCGTATCAACGCTGAAACAGAAAGATATCAATCAGTGAATGGATGAGAGAAAAACGACGATCGTCCTTATCATTACTCAAGAATTAACACATCAACCCCAATGCTCAGACTGGCTGTGACAGGATCATTTTAAACGTCCTTTTGCCTTCAGCTCTAGAGATGAGTGATGAAAATTTGGTATGATCCATGAACTTGACAACAATAATGTTTTTACACGAATAAGTTCAATTTTCCACTTTTGTTTTCAACGGAAGTGATGATAACTTCTGATTTCCGAATGAGACAACTTGTATATCATCCCATTTTCAAAATTTGAATTATTCTCAAAATCCAATAATACCACATAGGTAACATTGAGAACTGAAATATTGATTTGAAGTTCATTTTTGAATTTTTATCTGAGTGTGCTATCAGCATTATGATCGAGTCTGATTTACTTGTATAGATAGGTGCATTGCTGAAAAATATCCAATGCTGTTGAGAATTTAGAAAATTTTCGATTTATCACCGAATTAACTCTATCAGAATGGTTAAGTGCACCAAGATCCTGTTACAGGCGGTATACCCCTAGTATGATGATTTCAATAACTACTCTATGATTGTTATTTCGGGAGCTTCTGGAGGCCTTTTACTGGTTCGAAACATTCAATTTTGGGTTGATTCATGGTACATCAATACCTATAGTGCCATTATTTATATTTGATTAGCATTCCTTTCTTGGTAATATCGATTCATCATGTATTTTCAAATATATTCAGAGTAATGCAATATTGTTTCGAATATTCTCAATCATAAAACACCTACATTGGGGAAACAATTCGAAATATCTCATTTTGAATAGCTAGACCTTGAAATCGATCGTGGGGTTTGTGCTATTTCGTGGAATGGAATGATCAGTCACCTTCTGTGTAGAAGAAATAACGATCGGGAATCATTATCCTTCCTACCTTTTCATCAAGAGACTATACTCTTAGGGATCGATGGAATCAGAACTGATATCTACTCAATCCATGTTCTAATTTGTATTGAGCCAATTATTTAGAAACGAATCATATGATCAGGTGATCAATTGAAAGGTTCATAAAGCATTCCAATAATTGTAGGCTGTTATGATGAACAGTCTTATCGATAGACATGATTCTATTGAAGAAAACATTCAAGATGAGATTGCTATCGATATTTACACAAGTTATCTCAATTTTCATCAAAACAATCACAAATACATTCGTTGAATGAATATCTCGATCTATGTGATTGTTTATTGTTCGATTATCTGATAGTACTATCAATCATCATCGTTGAAAATTGAGTACCTGAAAACCGAAAACAACAACATCGTATAGCAACATCCTTGATTTTTCAATTTTGTATGTTAACTGCTCCAATATTCTAACAGGGAGATATAATTTTGAAGAATGAAGGTGATGGGATGATTTTCTGCTAGAGAAACTCATTCGCCACATAGGATTCTGCGATGAATCAGTTCGCAGTGTTTTTGAAATTTATAATCTCCGTATTCTGGAAGGACAAATGGAACAGAAAATGTTCTTTGAAATATTCTAGTAGTCTGAAAGTAGCAGAACATTCTTCGAATACAAATTATTCAATTATCGTGTAACTATTCTCCAGACATCTGATGTATAAATGATTCAGTAACGAAACGTGACGCAAAATTGGGAATTTTAAAAAAACATTGTGAATTGCCTCATAATAATAATAAAATTGATAAAATAAATATAGGACATTCTATGAATGCTCGTGGAAAGATAATTCATAAATGAGGTATTCTCAATTATTTTCGACGTTCTGTAGTTGTGTCAGGCATGCATTCCAGTTGAAAATGATGCATGGGTATGACGGGGGTGAAAATATTGAAGAATCTACTCGAATTCTCCTGAACAAACACAGAAGGCTCGATCTCTAGTGACAACGAAGAGATTATTGGACATAGCCCTCACAAAGAGATAACCGTATACACGTGTTTCGGGCTTAATGCCCTCATCAGTACGTTGAGAGAAAGTGCAAAGAATAGGCAGCACTAAGTAGGAAACGGAACAACTAATAAACGGAGTCAACAAACAGAATCCAGTCGCTTATTTTCACGGTTTCTATAATAGGGAAGATTGTTAGCGAAGTGGCATTTCCTGGCTAGTCCTCTCATCTTCCGTGACTACAATTATATTGGAATCATACTGATATTTTCATATATAGGAACGGGGACAGAATATCTAGGAAGGTGAAAAAAAAATGAATTTCCTACCTTCTTGATTAAGCTATAGACAGACATTTTGATATACACGGTAGTAAAAAATATCTTGAATCAAGCTACTATGCTCCGGACTTGAGAAATGGTATTCTTATCAAGGATCTATCAAGCCATACAAATTATTAGATCCCATATTCCAAATCATCTTTACATGGGATTTTCTTTTTCAAGCTTTTGGTGTCCTGCTAGAAATGACTTCAGTAAATCATAGTTCATACAAACTGGGACGCGAAGATTGAATTGAACCAGTGACTCTGCCAACAGAACTTTCTCCGTGACCCTCATGAACCAGGTTGAAGAATCAATCAGCTATATCTTTATAGTCGTTCAAGAAAATCTTATCGAAGTGGTATTATTGGATTTTAATCCATGATCACTAACCACTCCTACAGAACGCGGTGTTCCAGTCGAAAATTAAATATTGATGCCTGTTTTGCTTAGATGATCACAGAAAAATGTATGCCTTCAAATCGAAATCAACCTGTCGACCACACCAATTGTATGAGTCATGAAGAACATCTTCCTGAAGTCTGATTGTCACGATGTATAACCAGATGCCATCATGTATATCCATCTATCAGCATGCTAGTAGTCATGATACTAATATGAAATTATTGCGCAAATATTCAATTTTGGATGAAGTAAAAGAATTTGCTTGTTGCGGTTCAAGTTGAGAGGACTAGAAACAAACAACGAGAATTAACAAACTCAACTCGGTGAGAGCGCAATAAAATAATCATGATGGTAACTATCCTAGTAGTAGAGGAGCTGATGTCAGAAAAGTCTACTGATCTGCACAAGTTTTGGACTCCACTCTAATGATTGAATATGCCACTTTATGAACGAAATATCGTTTCAACAATGCGGCCAGCGTAGCCTCGTGGTTGAAGCATCAATATTATATTCAGGTTGGATTGCCGGTAGGTGGGTTCGATTCTCGCCACGACCACGCAAATTCTTCTGATGGCCTGAGAAAGTGTTTGAAATAACACGTTGAGAAGTAGGACCCCCGTCATTCCTTGCTCGCACAAGTCTCTCGAAGACTTCTGAGGGTTGCTCGTAAGAGGGCAACCGAATGATGAATAAGGACAATTTCAAAACATTAACCTCTGGACGGTTCATAATTATTGTTATCTGAGGAAAACAGTTGGGAAAAACGGACAAATTTTGACCAATCTGCACAAGCCCAGAAATGGGTATCCTTCTTCACGCTAGATAATAAGTTGTTGTTTACAGAACATGTGACAGGTTTGTGTAAAAAACTGGCTTCTGGATGCTATGTTGTAAGAAACATTGCCACGGAATTAGGATCTTCATCTGCTAAAACAGCATATTTTGCCTTAATTGAGTCTCACTTGAGATATTGAATAGCATTTTGGGGGGCCTGCAGTGATCATTTATTCCAGAAAAGTTTTGCAGACACGAGCCCTCAGATATATAGGCCGGGCGAAATCTAGAGATAGCTGTAGGGACTTATTTGAAAATTATAATATTTTAACTGTGGTTTGTTTATACATATTAGAAACAGCGTCTCTAATTCAAAAAAACAAATATGCCTTACAACTTGTCTCGTCACGATACAATACAAGGCAGAATGGTCAAATTAAGTTGATAAGACCCCGAATCACTATGGCCAAGAACTCGATCATTTATAATGGAATAAAAATATTCAATCACCTTCCAACTGACATCAAAGAAATATCATGTGATGAAAAGTTCCGCACTAAAGTCAAAGCACTACTCGTCCAAACTCCACTCTATAGCCTGGATGAATATTTTTCATTGGAGTTTTGATTTTATAAATAGGTATAACTTTTTTGAATTTGAAATGAAGGTAATATGTTTTCAACTAGGTAGACATAGCTCTATACGAGCTTTTGAATGTTGTTTGTTATTTGTCGTACTATTGTCGTACTTTGTGTTATTTATTTTCATGTAATTTAACAAGCTTTGTCAATAAGTGTGTTTTGTATTTATGACAATAAAGCATATTTTGAATTGAATTGAATTGAAGATGAATACTGTTCTGAAAGGGGATTCTGGTGAGAAATTCTTAAGAATCTCACCAATTCACACAAGACTCAGATTTTACACACGCCTTCAGAAAAACATAGAGAGCCTTTGCGAACAATTCAATAGAAACGATGTAGGTAACATAATGGAATTCGGATTTTTACAATGGCACTCGAATTACTTGGAATTGCTTCAATAAATTCGACTGATACCACGTTCTGAGTGGAAATGAAGGAACATTGTAGAAATGAATATCTAGAAACTGGGTGAAAGAGGAGAAATTTTCATAATAACCCACAATTCCTGGATGATTTTGATGAATTTCCTGGTTTTCTATCCAAAAATTATTTTGTAGAATACTTTTCGAATTATTTCAAGCTGTCAGAAAAATCAATATCAGCTTGTGTCAACACGATTTCGTGTGCAAATATTGAAGCTTGTGCACATTGATTGAATATTCAATTGACTAGGCAGAAAGCTTTTCAAAAAATTACGAGGTGACAGAATTTGTGCAGATTGGTGAGAATTTTTGCGTGAAAAAACCTTTGGCAGAACGATTTTCCAACTAGTCCAACCTGGCAGAATAGTTCGGTTCGGTTCTTTTGGTGAAAGTAGGCACCTTGCACATTTTTGGATTATGCAGATTGATTTGTCCATCAACAAAATAGGACCGATCGAAGATGGCAGTAACTTGGATTTGTGGAGAGAAGGTGTTGTTCTAGTATATGAGTG